TGTGTGTGTGTGTGTGTGTGTGTGTGTGTGTGTGTGTGTGTGTGTGTTTATTTGCATGTGTTTGATGATGTGAGGGTGAGAAAGACGGAAACATCAACATGCAGATCATTAACACGCAGCAGTGAATATATAACTTAACGTAATATACGTCATGTGTTTCATTCTGCTGATGTTAACTCGCAGCTCTTCGTTTGTTTTTTTTGTCACAAAGTCAAAATCAAAAGGAGGCGGAAGCTCGCTCTCCATGATGTGAGTCACAAATGAGAGCTGCTGTGGCCCGCTCCTTGTGTCCATGAATAAAAAAAGGCCTTTACAGAGCGCCTTCTTTTAAAAAGAAGGGGGTGGGGGAGTAGAGGTGGGGCTTGAACGTACATAAGAGGCAAAGACAGTCGGCCAGTGCAATTTGGCACAACATCACCAGACAATTTGTTGTAGCTTAACCTACACGAGGAAGCTGATTGGATTTATCCGTCCATTTAGACCCTCCACAATAATACCCTTTGTGGAGGAGAAAGCCTCGTGAGTGATGAGCACAGAACAAAGAACTTTATCCTGTATGTCGGGTGAGGACAACATGACTGGGGGCCAGTCCCAGGTCTTGTTCCTGCAGCCTGTCTGGGACTACCTCCACCAGAACCACCACGACCTCCTGAGGAGCCCTCTGTTCCCCGTGGTCCTCTCCGTCACCACCTACTTCCTCCTGGTCAGTCTGTACACCCTGCTCGACCTGCTGGCGCCCACCTGGCCCTGCATTAACCGCTACCGGCTCCATCCGGACGGGGCCGTCACCTGGCCTAACATCTGGACCACCCTGGGCGTCACCGTCTACAACCACCTGCTTTACATCTTTCCCGCCGCGGTCGCCCAGTGGCTGTGGAGGCCGCCCACCCCGCTGCCCTGCAAGGCGCCCACTCTCTGGAGCTTCTTCCTGGGCGTCCTGGGCTGCACGGTGGTCTTTGACTTCCAGTATTACCTGTGGCACCGGCTGCACCACCGGGTGCCGTGGTTGTACCGCACGTTCCACGCCGTGCACCACCAGTACAACCAGCCCTTCAGCCTCGTCACCCAGTACCTGTCTGGCTGGGAGTTATTCAGCGTGGGGTTCTGGGCTACAGTGGACCCCGTCCTGCTCCGATGCCACTGCCTCACAACGTGGGGCTTCATGGTCTTCAACATCTACATTTCCACCGAGGACCACTGCGGCTACGACTTCCCGTGGGCCATGCACAAGCTGGTGCCCTTCGGCCTGTGGGGTGGTGCACCAAAGCACGACGCTCACCACCAGCGGCCCAACACTAACTTCGCCCCGTTCTTCTCCCACTGGGACTGGCTGGGGGGAACCCACACTGTGCCGAATCCACCGGCCACGCTGCCGCCGGGGGAGCCAGACGAGACGAAAGGGAGAAGAGACTAAAGAGCTTGAATTAATCTCTCATCGCCTCTTTTACTCAAACCGCCTCTTTCTTGTAAATGCTGTCCCTCCAACACCAGACCAGTGTCTCTCTTCCCCTGTGTCTGCCTTTCCTTTTTTACACTTCCTATGTGGATGTATTCTCTCTCTAACAGAACAGCTGATTATCAGTCTAACAATTGGTAAGTTGTTGAGAAGAATTACCTTTGTGTACATGTTTTGTGTACATTCATCTCTTATTCATAAAGATTTCTCGTTCATGTTGATGTAACGTTGTGGTCAGCTATCTCAGGTCAGTTTCCGGACATGTTTTGAGCTCTTAATCCGAGTATTTTGCTGACGGTAGATGTGCATTGTCTCTCTCTCCCTCCTCAGCACCGATCCTCTCGCTCACACGCATGAATAGCGACCTTTTAGCTGCACGGCAGCATGACGCGTGGGAGCAATACTAATCCAACTCTCTCTGAGATGCTCCTACTGGAAGAGTTCTCAATAAGGTGTCTTTCTTTCACTACGACTACGAGAATCAAGATTTCTGATTCATTCATTAGAATAAATCAAAATGTAAAGTAGCTCATAAATAATGTGTAAATAAAATACATTTCTAATGAAATACTGACTACTTCATCTTTGTAGAAAAGTGTGTTTTTTTTACTCGTGTCCACTTGCATTTAAGAAAACAAACCAGCAGAGGTCCCCCTTTCCTTCCAGAGGCAAGGAGAACATGTCAAGCAAACAACCACTTCTACAATCATTTATTTTATACAAATGAGTCACTATCAGGACACAAGATACTCCCTCAGTGCAGTAGAATATCTCCTGGTATTACACAGGAAACGCAGTGAGTGGTAGTACTGTGGTGATCTGCGGTGGTGACTCTTCTCTTTGTTTCCATCTTCGTGGTATCAACACCAGCAGCCAGAACTGGTTTGGCTGGTTTCTGGTTAACGAGGGTATTGACGGTTGCAACAGGTTGTGCTTATTTTAGAAACACAGACGTCTCCAGCAGATCTGTCTGTCTGTCTGTGTGACAGTTGTTACAGTACTAGGATCCTAGGTATGGATTAAATAAACATCTGGCTACGTCATAGATCTCTAATGTGCATGCATTCTCACCATTAGTTCGCTTTTTAAAATAATCTTATATGGATAGAAAATGTAATTTATAGGTCAAGTTAAGTTATTTCCTGTCAAAAGACTCATTTAAGACTTTTTATTTTATTCTTAAAAATGTAAAAAAGAACCTTGAGGCACCACGCATGTTGCATCATGGAAATATACAACACAGAGCACCACTCAGGAGTGTGCTCCACCGCACCTTTGCCCTCATTTCTTTTTACCATAATGATAATGCAAAACACAGATAGCCTAAGTTAAATAAAATCAACATAAAATTAGGGGGAGGGTATGGATCAAACAAACAGTTTACAACATTGAACACTGAAACTGTGTTGCATTTGTGCAGCTCCAGTGAAAAGTTTACTACTATGAGAAAACATCTGTACATGAAACGAACACTGGATTGTTTTAACGTGTGTTCTTGCTTCATGTTCATCTTTTAAATTATTAATCCTGCATAATAATTCATCATGCATTCTGCTACAGGGTTAGTGTCTCACACCCTGCGTACATGTTGTACCCAAATGTTAAAGAAACAAATGAACTTTTCCAACCAGCTGTGTAAATGTAGCACAGCCGGGGAGCGGCTCCGTCACGAGGAGGGAAGGTGCTCTGAGACAAAGGGTAGGATGACACTCACATCAGCAATCATTTACCTCAGCCAGTCATTACACAGCAAGCTATCGCATTCACAGTCTGGGTGTGTACCTGAGGGGCGGGGGGCCTTACTGCTTGAAACACACTTTTTATCTCAAGATAAAGGACAAGGGGCATTCACTGTGGTTCACAACTCCCCTTTGTCGGCAGCAGATTGTCTTTTAAAAGGAAACTGTTTGTTGAATTAAGGAGGTTTGAAGTTAAAATACAATGTTTGACTGTTTGGGAGAGTGAGCTGTGAACCTGGAATGAGGCGCAGACACTGAAACTGTAGTGTCATCCTCACACCAAGCCTGGTCACGCCCTCAAACAGTCTTTAACCTCCTCATCTCTGACCCGCTTCCTTCTCTGGCTTTTACTTCAGAAAAGTATGTTTAACAACTGAGCAAACATCATTAAAAACGTTAAAAAAAAAAACCAAAAAAAAAAAAAAAAAAAACCTCAACACATTCCATGAATTCCTAACATTTCCACAAGAAGACAAGAACGGGCCATGACAATGAGTCTCCAGCTGTGTGGTTAAATACATCCTGATGGTGACTCCCTCCACACAGGAATGTGTATCGGCTACGCAATATCAAAAAGGAGTTTCACAGAAACGTCATGATGTTATAAATCATTTATTTAACAAACTATGTAACAGTGCCAAACATTTCTCCTCAACATTTAAGAAGGCATGGTTTAAGATGATAAAAACATGTTGGCGGCAGGAATGTGCCCAAACAGGCAAGTTTAAAACACAAAACAGGAATGAATATTAAGTTGT